TGAAAGTCATAAAATATCAAATTGCCTCATTTTTAATGAGGAGTTAAGACTATATACATTGACATTAAAGAGTGATTAATCAACCAGATGATCATAGCACAATTTAAGCAATTAATTATTATATTTACAGTCATCATAGGGATTTATACCACATATTGTCTGCAAAAGTGGTTTATAACTGACTTTTTGAATACATACTAAAATACTCCCAGATTTTGTAAGAACTTGTGACATCACTCTATAAATCATATAACATACATGAGTGACTTTGGTTAAGCAGTAAGTTAAGGAATCTATTTGTCTCAAATCTGATCTTTACCCTTTTCATAGTGTTATCATAGTTTACATATCAATGAAAGAAGAAACTTTTAAACATTTTTTTTTAAATTTATGGCTTCATCTCACAATATCACTTTTTGAAATAATTAGGAAGTAATTATTTCCCACAAGTAATTCTTTACTTTCCTCTCTCTTGAATATACTGCCACTCTTCAAATACTTATTAAGCAGTTTTGTAGAAATCTAAACTGTTAATGAGGCTATTCACTTACTTAGAATGACAAATATAAAGTTAGGGTTTTAAATATTAAACCTACAAATATAAAAATGCTGTTGAAATTTTTCTTCATAATGTTCATATTATCTATGTATATACCCCAAAATGTCATGATTCTCTCCAGGGGTCTGAGAGTTTAAGATAAACTCTGATATGACCTAGGCAACGAATGCTTGTCCCACATAAAACATCAGAACTAATTTTTACTGGACATCTTGGCATAGCTCTTTTATGCCCCTAAATGGCTTTTCTTATTAAGTTCCCTTAATAAGAACTGTCACCCAATAAATTTTCCTCAGGGCATGGGGAAAAATTTTGTGTCTTGGCAGACGATAAAGAAGGGGAAAACGATCAGTAGGAGAAAACTTAATACTTAGATATAAAAATCATTATATCTATTATTTTAAAACATGTTATAAAGGGTATCTCAGAGTATAGTCTGTTGTAACATAGTTGACTTTAAAATATTATGGCCTTGATTACTTTTGCGTGAAGCCAACAATTCACCAAAACTATATCATAAGGCATTTATCTCTGAGGTACATACCAAATAAAAGTTTATACTCTATTTCTAATTTGCTTTATGTATTTATCTCAAACTACCAATAAGGAAACTTACATTTACCTAATTGTTCATGCACACAGAGTTGTAGATGATACAATGACAAATCTAGAGTTGTAGATAGCAACAACAAATCTCTTCTGACTTTTGACTTCAGAAAGACAGAACAGAATGCTTTTCCCATTCCTTCCTAAGTAAGACTTTAAAAAGCACTTTGCTTGCTTGCAAGTACATGTAAAACAAACTTAAGCATACTCTGAAAGGTAGTGAGGAAAATAGTTTGTAATCCAAGGAAAGGATTAAGGGACCAAGAGTTTTCTATTTCATACATCTCAAACTGAGAGTTGCAGATACTGACAATCTGAACACTAACAGGTGCAAACAACAAACTTTAATAAAATCACACTCTCTCTAGTCAAAAGGCCAGAAAAGAGGAGTCTAAGAAGAAGAAGATAGGAAAATACAATTGTACTCTACAAAAATGCCACAGGGAAAATATTATGAACAACAACAAAGGCTACATGGGGAACCTAGACTTCTACCTCTGCCAGGCCACACCCGGTTGCTAATCCTTCCACTCAAGGTAATGTCAGGAGAGAGCAAATAGCTCTCTGGTTCCATCTGGGATCATGGACCTGGACATGGAAAGAACTGAGTCACAGAGACTTGAATGAGACTTCCGTGTGGATCTTTATGTTTCCAGAGTTTATATCCCCATCTTCTCAGCATTAGACAACACAGAAAGCATCTAAACACAACATAAAATTAACATTTCACCATAGACCTTATTTTGACATTTTGCTAACTATCTGTGAAAACTGCATGTGGCATTAAATCATGCACACTGTGTTGGTAATTAAGACAGTTATACATTATCAAATTAAGGTAAGGTAAAGGTAAGGATCAAAGTTATACATTGTATGATTTTTCAAGCAGCATTAACCACCTCTGCCCACACCAGGAAGGACATACCTTGTGTCCAAAGGGTGGGTCTAGGGAGAACCAAAAGAGTTTTCTCAAGGTTCAGCCCAGGAGGTCTGGCTGATGGTCACTAACCTCAAGCCCTGTTTTGGGGGTCCTACTTGCATGTGTGATCAGTGCTCCAATCATCATGACCACGTCACATTCCCCAGGTTTACCTGGCTGTGACTCTGTTGTTTCTCCACATGGGACTTTAATTTCCCCATAAGTAATGAGACTACTGCCTCATCTCCAGTGTTATTGGATGGAAGTTATGGATTCCATACCACCCAGCTCTCACAAAGTAGGTCCCCCCACTTGTACATCAGGGTAGTGGCACAAGAGGAAGCCCAGGGCACTTGCATCATTACCACTGGCATTGAGGACGCCTTTCTCAGGGGGTCAGTGGTGATGATAGTGAGGAGCTCAACTCTCTTGTGGCATTGAGGATGAGGGGAATCTGCACTCTGCCTCTACTTGGTATTAATGGGGGAGTTTCCACCTTCTCCTGCTGGAGAAGTCAAAGAAAATCAACTAAAATAAAAGAAGATCCAGAATCTCACAAGACAATGAACTGAAGTAAATAATAAGAAAATATCTAATATTTGAGTTGTGGCTAGAAGAAGATCAGGAGAGACTTCACTCATAGAAAGTTAATTGAACAAAATTGAGGACTACTTCTAGCTAGAGGGCATAGCACATATTAAATGCAAAGATCGTGAAGCAAAAATAGTCTTGGTATGCTTAAGGAATTACTAAACAGAGTGAGCCAGAGGGAAAATAATGACAGTTGAGTTCAGAAACACATGATGAGATCGAGAAAGTGGAAGTAAAGTTAACTATGGCTGAAGAATTGAGGCTACTAGATTGGAAGGAAGATTGGGACAAAGATGGAAAGGAACAAAGTCTAAGGTAAGACCCTTGGGTGCTTGGATGGGGGGTGGGGTGCTAACATACACATCAGAGGAGGTGTGAATCTATTGCCTAAATCATACACAGTGTTGTAAACTAATGTCACCTCAATAAAGAGGAGGGAGATCAAAACATTTAAATAGATAGCACCTCATAATTCCTAGTAAAGTCTTTATCATGGTGAGATGAGAAGCTATTCTTTAAGCAGAAGAGTGGCATGATGTATTTTAAAGAATGTCCCTTACTGTTCCCCTGACACTTTGACTGATAGATAATAGGGATGGAAACCTGAAGGCACTTATGAAGCTAACACAAAATCTGGCATAAAATGATAGTGGTCTGTACCTGAGTGATATTAGTAAAAGAGAAATCATAGGATTCTAAGTACTTTTTTCACTGTGAAAGCTATTTAATTAGTGTTCATAGAGAGGGAGGAAGAAGAAAGGATTTCAAATAATGGGTACCCCATGAAAGGAATGGGCAGATCCCGTAACGCTGGGACAGGAGGTGAACAGAGACCTGGAATTCAAAATGTACCAGGTCAAGATAAGGAGTGCTGTAGTCTCTGTCAAGTCCCAATACCAAGAGCATCCCTCCAGGTGTCTCTCATCTGGATTCTAGCTTTTTGTTTGTTTGTTTTAGCATAAAGCCAACTGGATTTGCAGATGTCAGATGTTAAAAGAAAGAAAGAAGGCAAGTGTGATCCCAAAGCCTCTCTATGAATCAACTGGAAGAACAACAATGTTATTACTTACTGAGATAGGGAATTTCAAAAATAGGATAAGGGTGAAGAAAAAAAGGATATAAGTATTACAAAATAAATTTTAAAAAATCGTCACCCTATTCCATTTTTTTCAGCTCTCTCAACCTTTTTTCTCTCTCCCACTCCTCCAGGTCCTCCTCTCCTCTTCCTCCACTCCTCTGCTTACCTTTCCTCTCCTTCCTCACTTCCTTTCTTTCTTCACTTTCCTTTTCTACCTCCATACAACTAGTCTCCATTTTCAGACATCACTGACATCTGTGGTGAACAGTGACTGTGGAGTCTGGGGGAAGGGGTAGAGAGAGGCCAACATGTGGACATAATGGCATTATTGAGAAAAACCTTCTGGGACATTCCTCAATATCAGAAACATGAATTGAGACATCACTGGGAAGCTTTCAATCATCATATGGATTTTGTAACTCAGTCAGTTTTCTTGCTTTTATTTAACAGAGAGTAAGGATTTCAGAGACAATTATTGCATACTCTAGTTTTCCTTTTGGTTAGAATGCCAAGTTACCCAAATTATAAAGTCAACTAGGTAGGAGCTGTTTTCAAAAAGAAACAAAAGGGTTGCAATTCTCTTCTTCTTGATCTTTTTTCTCTTGTCCCACTCTTAATTATTAACAATGAACATTAATGTATTCTATTTTTAGTATGGATGTAATAACTAAAGGGCATTTTCTTAATATTCATTTTCTTATTTTTTATTTTCTGACTCTTTTTTGGAAACTGTTAATTTTCTATATTGTATTGCTACACTTACACAGCTCCTTATATTTTAAATGTAAAATAATAAAGAAAAAGTAAACATAGCTAAAAATAATGGGTCTCATGGAAACACAAAATGTGGAATCTTTTATTAAAAAAATGTAAGATGCAGAATATAAATCTTGTTTGGGCTGATTTGACCACCCAAGGTCAGAGCAATCCTGGCTCGCTTCCAAGCTGTCCACCCCTTGCTTTTGAGCCCTTTGGGTATCCAGTAGGTCAGGGCTCATGACTTCTAATGAGTAATGCACTGGTAGTCAAGCTGGGCTGATGGGATGGGAATAGCAAAAACCACGCCTCTCTAATTACATGTATTAGCCCTCCAGCATCGGGGTGCCTTCTAACATTTTAGGATGGGGGGGGCAACTGAATAATCACATAGAAAATACAAATCTGCAGGAGATGCTAAAGTTGTCCCAGATTCTAGCTGCCAGACGGTCTTTGTATTCCTCAGATGATAATATTGACAGCCTGCCTACCTCCTGTGGATGTCAAAGCCAAGGTCAAGGCCAAAGGACATGGACAAGCTGTCAACCTAGCACAAGAAAATAGGGAAACATATCATGAAAATGATAGAGAAGTTTCCATAATTGGATGGAAATGTTGCACAGAAACTACAGGTCATGGCATTAGTAGAAATTTAAGCGATTGCCTCCTTCTTAATACCCCCACAGGGAAGCCGAATACCCAGTATCTAGTGAAAGGTCAGCATCCTACGGACTGACTTCCTCTCACCTATTCTTCGCAATTGCTTCTCACTTTTGAACTTTGCAGCTTTTTTTTTTTTTTTTAGTTTTAGTTTTGTTTTGTTTTGCTTGTTTGTTTGTTTAAGATTGATTTATTTATGCATACAGAACTGAGGTGTAGGCCAGAGGTGCAGGGGTGGTGAGAAGATTCACCAGAGACAGAATGGCAGAGTGGGGAGCAAAACAGGCAGACTGATGAAGTACACTGCTGCTGAGGAGAGCAGCGGGAAGACAGGAGAGGTCTGCTGTGCCTTGGGTCACCTTCCTGGCCAGGGATTGAACCCAAAGCTGCTTGAGCTTCATAGTGCTGTGCTTTAACCCACTGTGTCACTAGGGAGGGCCCCAGTAGGCTTTTTATTTTAAGATCAGTTCTTAATTAATCTGGTTAGTAGTTAGGAATTAGACAAACTTATGACCTTAGTATTTGTAACTGATGAGTTATTTGCTAATAAACTAACAGACCAATGTTTTTAGATTTGCTTTGATCCCATAACTTACCTCTTTAGGAAAAGCTGTGTGAAAAATATAGCAACAGTTAATGGAGTGAATTTCTACCTCAAATTACAGTTAATATGGAAAAGTATAGAAACACAATTTTGAATAAAGAATTAATAGATTATGTGGATTAAATTGTATACCCAGATTTCAATCAATTTACGTAACACTAATGTTAGCTAATTGTTATTACATTCTTCTAGTGTGCCAGAGTCTATGCTAAGCACAGTTACAAAAATTATTTAATTCATGAAACAAGTTTTTCAAGTAGATATGTATGTTGTATGGCTTGGAGGAGTCACTCAACTAGTATATGAGAACTTTTGGCCTTGAAACAAAACTTGTCTGACTGGGAATCTTTACTCTTACATAAAGAAACACTGTAGTTTCTCTGTTTCTTCATAACTGAAAGTGTTAACACACAGTGAAGTCATAGTTTAAGAATATGGCAATAGACCAAGAGAGGCCAATTGGGTAAATCCTGCTTTGACTTCTAAGCTGTATTGCAACTTAATTGTGCAGAAGACTACTTTCAAAAATGCACCATAGTTATTTAAGAAAGTAATACTGGATACAAATGTTGATCCATGGAAGATAAAATATTGTCCCTGTCAATGCAATAAAAAAAAATAAGACTAACAACAACAACAAAAAAATGTATGCTAGCTCATATCCCCTTCAAGCATTAAAAAAAAAATATGCAGGCTTACTTGCAAATGAAAACAATAAAAGCATGCTGCTGTTGGGTCATAACTGTGAAAATACCAGTAATGTCAATGTTACCTGACTAATAACATGGAAGAGCAATTCTGAAATGATTTTAGATATGCATAGGATTGTGCAAATGTGTGAATGGTGTGGGGAATCATGGTTCTTGTAGAAAACAAGATGCACGGATATGAAATAAGGGAAACGAATAAAGAAAAGTAATCCCTCTGGGAATGAATTGGAATTCATGTTTCTAGGGAAACTCCTGATTTTTAAAATACATGTGCATGTGAATATGGAGTACATGCAGCTGGATATATAAATATAAATGGATATATAGCTGTGTGTGTGTGTGTGTGTGTGTGTGTGTAGGGGTATGTGTGTTTTCTGAACTATAGTCCCTGAAAGGAACTAGATAAGGACACCACAATAAAAAAAAAAAACATAATTATCAAAGATTGTATTTGTATTTTAAAATTATTCTCCACTAAAATAATCCTGAATTAGCTGGAGAAATGACTCTGGGGCTGAGCAGGAGAGAAATATGGGCCTGGAACATCTTGTTATAGCAGAAAGTGAGGAAGTGATCAAAAAATTATGTAGGCCTGTTACAAGGACACAGAAGCCAGCTTGAGTGGACTCCTGCTGGCAAAATCTGGGTCATTTTGAGCAGCAAATAATTAAGGATAATAATGAATTATAAACTTAGAAAAGTATAGGGAAACAGCTAGACAAATGGGAGGCTGGGGAGAACACTTTTACCTAACTGTAAAAAAACCCTGAGTACAGACTAAGCCATGATTTTGCAATCATAATAGTAAAGATTGGTACAGGTGCAAATTAAATCCAGAGGAAAAACTGGATGACATGTAGCACATTTGCATAATCTTAAAAATGTTTCACTATTGAGGTCCCTCCCTGGTGGTTCAGCGGGTTAAAGCA